GGCCGCCATGAACGGCCTGTCGGTGAGCGAACTCTGCTGCCTCTTCTGCTGCCCTCCCTGCCCCGGCCGCATCGCTGCCAAGCTCGCCTTCCTGCCGCCGGAGTCCACCTACTCGCTGGTGGCCGAGCCAGAGCTGGGGGCCGGGGCTGCCCCCTCAGGGACACTGCGGGCCTCGGCGGGCACCCCCGGGCGCTGGAAGCTCCACCTAACAGAGCGCGCTGACTTCCAGTACAGCCAGCGCGAGCTTGACACCATCGAGGTCTTCCAGACCAAAAGCGCCCGTGGCAACCGCATCTCCTGCATGTACGTGCGTTGCGCGCCTGGGGCCAGGTGAGGAACCCCGGGACCTGGCAGGCGCCCCGATGCACTGTGCCGGGGGCTATGTTTCCATCTGGGTGCTTGGTGTGCTTGGTGGTTGCCCCCCGAAGGGCCAGGGCCAGTGGTTAAAAGCCCACCTAGCTGGCGTGGGGACCCTCCTGCCAGCCTGTCCTTGTTCCTCTTGTGATTTTTCTTGCCAAAGAGGTGGGTGCCTGCCCCAATCTGGCCAAAAGCAGGCTTCCTTCTACCCAGACTGCTGCTGAACTACCTGGGCCCTTAATGCACATGGCCCCCCCTTCCCCATGCTGTCTGGGGAACCCCTTCAGCACCCTGTCTCTTGAGGAAGCTGAGACACAGGGAAGTGACGCCTCGGATCACTTGGGGTGGGCAGGCAGCTGACTTCAACGGCCAGCTCCTTTGCTGCTTCACCACTCCTCAGCGAGGCTTATTCCTCCTGGGTATAAGCCAGAGGGGTGGTGCAGGGGCGGGGCTGCCACGGCCTTCCAGCTGCTTCTGCCTTCATACAGGTGGGTTCTGAGTCCAGATCTGAGTCCAAAAGGCTAGCTTTTACCTTCCGGCTGGGCTGGGCCTGGTGGTGCTGGAGGAGGCAGCCCATGGGTCAGGTTCAGGCTGGTCACCTGTTCTTGCTGTGACCTGGGGTGGCTGCTGTTCCTGCTGGCAGTTCTTCCAGGACAGTCACAAGATCCTGTAAGAATGGCTGTGAGCACCGGGGCCATTTTCTGTAGGTATACAAAGAGCGTCATGACTGTGAACAAGGGACTGGTTTTGTTTGCTTGTTGGGGACAGGGGTGGGGTCCAGCTGGCGAGCAGAGGGATTGTTTCTTGAGAGGGGCAGAGCCCTGCCAACAAAGTGTTGCCTGCTCTTCCCCTGGGAAGGTGCTGAGCAGTGGGCACGCCATCCTTGGGGCCGTCAAGGCCACTCCAAAAGGAAAGATTCTGGAGCAGAGGTGGCTGCTAGGGCTTGCCGAGCTCACACTGTGGGTCTGCCCTGATTAGAGAACAGGACCAGTGGTCCCAGTGCGTCCCTTCACAGGTGGGAGGCCTGAGGCTCCTTGGGCTGGCCCACACAGCCGGGAGGGGCTGGGCCCCTCGTCAGCACTCCTGTTCTCTCCCTGTGGGGAACCTCAGGAGTGGAGCTAGGCTGTCCCGGTCTCACCTCCCACCTGTTGTGAGGGGAGTGAATGGGGCCATGAGTGCTGGCTGGCCACCAGGATGGACTGTCTGTCATGAGTCCTTCTGCCCTGGGTGCTGGGATGTTGAGGGGTGGGCAGAGTCTCCCAAAAGGCCGTGCCTGTCCCCTCCTCCCCCTGGGCCCAGGAGGCCCACCCCAGGCCCTTTCCTCTGACTTGTGCCCCGCCCCACCCAGGTACACGGTTCTCTTCTCACACGGCAACGCGGTGGACCTGGGCCAGATGAGCAGCTTCTACATTGGCCTGGGCTCCCGCATGGCCTGTCCCCTCCTCCCCCTGGGCCCAGGAGGCCCACCCCAGGCCCTTTCCTCTGACTCGTGCCCCGCCCCACCCAGGTACACGGTTCTCTTCTCGCACGGCAACGCGGTGGACCTGGGCCAGATGAGCAGCTTCTACATTGGCCTGGGCTCCCGCATCAGCTGCAACGTCTTCTCCTATGACTACTCTGGCTACGGCGTGAGCTCAGGCAAGCCCTCCGAGAAGAACCTCTACGCCGACATTGACGCCGCCTGGCAGGCTCTGCGCACCAGGTGAGGGTGGCCTCAGGCGGGGCCCTCCTGGAGTGTCCCCTCAGAGAGCTCATCAGACCTGGTGACTTGGGCTGGCTTCCCTGGGGAGGGGGCTGCAGTGGCCTCACTGGGTCAGGGGGTGGTGAGAGGGCATACTTGGAGTGTGTAGATGCTCAGCGGCCACTTGGCTGAGCTGGGGGCCAGGCAGTCCTCATGCCTCCCCAGGTACAGCCCTTCTCCCCCATCCTTGGAGCCCCTGGTGTGGGAGCGGGGAGGGGCAGACACTGGGCAGGGCTGGGGTTGTCCACAGGGGAGGGGAGGCTCTGCCTGTCGGGAGTGGGTGGGCAGAGGGTGCAGGCCCAGGAGGTGGTGTTTGCGAGTTGTGTGAAAAGACAGCTGGGAGCCCCCCAGGTGAGGTGGCTCTTGGGGCTCAGGTGGGGCCAGGACGAGTGTGGTTGTGGAAGTCAGCCTCATTTTGGGGCAGTGGGTGGGGGTGAGGTTTGTGGCGGTGCGTGGAGAGTTCTCTTGGGCAGCTTGGTGCCCAGCACAGCCCTGGTGGCAGGTGGGAGATCAGCTAGCGAGAGTCCTGTTCCTCCCCAGGCCTGGGCCCCCTCCCCACCACACATACCCTAGGTCCAGACCCTAGTCACGAGGCCTGGACAGCCCCTCCCTACCCCATCAACATGCTGGTCCCCTCACCAGTGTTTGCAGAGTGTTGCCCTGCGCCCAGCTCTGCTCCAGAGTGACCCAACCCCAGCCCTCCCAGGGGCTGTGCGCTGCTCCCTGCCCACTTGCTGTTCCCGCTTACTCTGGGCTGCCCTGTCTCTGCCCTGTCCAGCCACCTGGTCAGACTTGGTGCAGCAGGCACCAGGTGCAGCGCCGGGAAGTCAGGGCCCTCGGGAGGTGGGGGCTCTGGTTGCCATGGTGATGTGCCAGGCAGTCCCTGCTGCGGGCCTGGGAGTGGGGTCCCCTGGCACCACCCTGGCGTTGGGGACCATGCCCTGGGCTTCCTGATGGCATGGGACACCTAGCACCAAGCACTACCTCCTGCAAGGCAGGTTCACACCTTCCTTCTGTCCCCAATGCCCTGGGCAGTGGCAGAATAACATCCCACTGTGGGGTGCAGCCTCTGAGCTCTCTGTTTGTCCATCTATCCTGTTGCCAGCATTGTCTTCCAGAGCCCTGTTCCCTCAGCCTAGCAGCTGTGACAGTCAGCTGGAGGTGGGGCAGCACCACTGGGGACCTGTGAGTTTGCTCAGGTGGAGCTGTGTAGGTGGCAGTCGGGGGCCCCTGCCTGGAGCTGGGTGATAGGGCTGGGCTGGCACTCAGTGCAGTGGTGGCCAGGGAGGCTGAAGCTGTGCTGCGAGGCAGTAGGCAGCAAGCCAGGTGGCATCCTGAGTTCTTAGGGGCGAGGGTGGGCAGGTGGTCAACTGTGGAGTGCTGCCAGGAAGTCTGGGGTCCAGGCCAGGGGAGAGAAACAGATAGGGCCCCTGGTTGGGTAGGAAGGTGGACTGCCCAGGTGAGATGCAGACCTGCTCTGGCTCTTGTCCACCAGGAGGGCATCTGCCTAGGATCAGTGTCAGGAGCTCGTGGGAAGAGAGCTGTGGAATCCTCCTGCATGGACAGGGTGGCGAGTAGGTCTCTCGGGCCAGGGGAGGCATGCGTTGCACATGTCCTGGCGGTGGGAGCAGGGGCGGGGACCCGGAGGTGGGAGCTGGTGGTGTGTAGGAGACCCAGGACCTGTCCTCTAGGTAGGAAAGGGGCACCCACCTCCTGCTGCTGCTACCGCTTGCCTCTGTTGTGCTGAGCAACTCATTGAGCACGGGGGACTCCCAGGGGCCTCAAACTGGGCTGAGACAGTGGGGACACAGTTACCTCAATTCCCTGCGGCGGAGGGTTAGGGTGGGGGAGGGGCGCAAGGAGGAAGACAGCCCCGCTCCCCTCGTCAAATGCACCAAGAGGGGCTTTCTGATCAGGAACAGCAGGGACGAGAAGACCTGAAACAGCTTCAGGGTGTGGAGAGGCCCGCAGTTCCTAGGCGCCCCTCCTTGTGACCCAAGTAGATATCGTCCAAGAAGCGGGGCAGTGCAAGCAGGGCTGCGGCCAGGCCAGCCCTGTGGTCCCGGCCTCGGTGTTGGAGGCAGGGGAGGGCCTTGGGGCGCGTGTGGAGCCTGGGCCCGACCCTGTGGACTGGAGGCCGTGCGGGGAGGATGGGGGACCGCACCGGGAGCTGAACGGCGGGGATGCGCGCCGGGGGCCGCGCCTGACCCTGCCCCTGCTCCTGCCGCGGCCGCCGCCAGGTACGGCATCAGCCCGGACAGCATCATCCTGTACGGGCAGAGCATCGGCACGGTGCCCACCGTGGACCTGGCCTCGCGCTACGAGTGCGCCGCGGTGGTGCTGCACTCGCCGCTCACCTCGGGCATGCGCGTCGCCTTCCCCGACACCAAGAAGACCTACTGCTTCGATGCGTTCCCCAAGTGAGCGCGGGGGGCGGGCCTCGGCGGGGCGGGGAGCCTGGGGTGGGCGGGCCTCCGCGGAGCTGAGGCTGAAGCCTGACCCGCCCCCTCCACCCCCGACCCCGCAGCATCGAGAAGGTGTCCAAGATCACGTCGCCCGTGCTCATAATCCACGGCACCGAGGATGAGGTGATCGACTTCTCTCACGGCCTGGCACTCTACGAGCGCTGCCCCAAGGCCGTGGAGCCGCTGTGGGTGGAGGGCGCCGGGCACAACGACATCGAGCTCTACAGCCAGTACCTGGAGCGTCTGCGCCGCTTCATCTCCCAGGAGCTGCCTAGCCAGCGCGCCTAGCGGCGGCCGGTGCACCCGCACCACGCCGGACCTCAGCAATAAGGCGGCTGCCCGGCGGGCAGGCGCAGCCGTCAGACCTCACCCCATCCCGGCCCCGGGGGCTGCATGTGGACCCAGGGCTGTCCAGGCCTCCCAAGACGGCGGGCAGGCGGGCCGGGACCCGCCCCGGCCCAGGGACCGTGGACTATGTATAGGTGACGGAGCTATGCTCTCCTTTTCTTTTGGAAGCAAAAAGAAGAAAAAAACGTGAAAACAGAAATTAAAGATTTAAAATTTCAGGGTTCATCTCCCTTTCATGGCTCCTGCACGCTTTGCAGGAGCTCAAAGAGAGGGGGCTGGGATTCCTCAGGCTTAGACCCCAGGTTGCCAGGAAGGGTTGGCACTCACCCAACTGTGGGTCTCACAAATGCAGATTCCAAGTCACTTCAGAAGAGGAGGGTGGGGTCTGGGTCTGGTCCGCAGGGCCCCTTGGGGGCTGGTTGTTTGGGTGGTGGTTGGTGGGGAGCAGCATTGGAATCCAAGAATCCTGCTTTGAATCCAAGGCAAGCTGGGTGGGTGGGTAGTTGCATTGTGTCTGGCTCAAACTACTTGGGCCTATCAAGGCGCGCTGCGGCTCCCGTGTGACAGATGAAGACCCTGCTGCCCTTCCCAGTTCCCCACCCCTTCCTTCTTTTGGGTCCCCACTGCACAGAGGGCGGAAGAGAACACCCTGGGACCTGAGGGCCAGGCCGCTTCCCTTGCAAGTGGGGAATCTGAGGTCCAGCAGGAGGCAGTGGCAAGTTCGTGGGTCCCATGGGGGTCTCTCCTCCCCAGGGAAAAGGAGCCGAGCACGGGGCTGGGCTCACGGGTAACGCTCCCGCAATACGCCAGGGCCTTCCCCTGCTCCGCCTGTCTGAGCTGTGTCCTCCGCCCGGGATGCCCTTGAAGAGAGCAGGTCGGGTCGGGTCTCATCGCAGGGGACCCCAGCCCCCCACGTGCTCTCTGCGACCTCTAGGGTAGGAGCCCTAGAGCGGGGCAGATGTCGGGGACCGGTGGCCTGTCGTCCTGTGTCCGACCGCTGGGGTCGGACAGCCCCTCATCATCGCGCGGTGGCGAGGCCAGGCCCCGGTGCGGCCTACGCCTCGCCCTAGTCCGCGGCTCCTTTAAGAGGGGGCGGTGCTTCAGCCTGGGGGCGGGGAGGACGCCGAAGGGGCGGGACCCCGCTCTCGTATTACGTGCGAGGCCATGCCCGGGCGGAAGCGGAAGTAGGGTCCGCGCGCACGGAAGTGGCGGTGGCGGTCTCGGCGGTAAGTGGCTGTGGCTCGGGCCCGCCGGGCCGGCCTCTCCTCCCTCGTGGCCACTCCCCACGGCTCCCGCGCCGTCCTCTTGGGCTGCGGCTTCCTGGTCTGCACCCTGGGGCCGCCATGGGGGTTCGGGCCGGGCCCACCCGACTCCACTGCAGGAAAGCGTCCTGGGCCCAGGGCTGCTGCTGCCCTGGTCGCCCCGGGTCCCGCGGGCACCCGTGCTGGGATCTAAGACTGCTTTTGGAGTTGCAGGACGCCTGGAGGGAATGCTCTCTGCTCCCTGGCACCACAGGGCCTTTGCACAGGCCGGTGTTTGCGACCGAGGTGCCCTCGCTCGGTCCTGGTCTTGACACGTGCCTGGCAGTTCCACCGTCTAAGCTCCCTGAGAGCTGGGGCTCTGCTGTGTCTTCAGTGCAGCACGTTAAGAGCACCTGCTCAGAGTGGAACAAAATTGTGTTCAGGTACACAGAGTGAAAATTCAAGGAGCCCAAAAGTATATTTGGTGAAAACGAAGTGTCCTTTCCTCCCCTGACCTCCAAGGCCCAGTTCTCCCTTGGGACAGAGATAAACCAGTATGTGTCAACCAGGAAAGTCTATGCGTGTACATCTACATGTGTTTCCACAGAAGGTGGATCACTTTACGTGGGCCTCTTATTTACTTACTTTAAGAGCGTGGAGATGGTTTCTATACATACGGACATATAGATTGGACACATTCATTTTAATAACTGCAAAGTATTTTAATAGTACTATAATTTATTTATTCCAGTTCCTATCGATAGCAATTTAGGTTCTTTGCGGTCTTTCATAACAACAATAATGGTGGGTTGACCATTCCTGTACAAATGTCTTTGTACCAAGTAGGAATATTTCTGTAGTCTAGATTCCTTAGTACAGGAGTGCTACGCCAGAGAGCTTCCAGTAGGTCTCTAAAGGGATCACTTACCTATAAATGGGTTGTACCAAGTTGACCCCCATTAAAAGTCATTTGTATTTCGTATTCTTTGTCTATTTTTCTACTGGGCTGTTGGTATTATTTTCTAGGAGCACTTTATATATTAAGGGAATTAGCCCTGGGTTAAAGCTTTTTTTTTTTTTTTTTATCATTTGTCTTTGAATTTGTGGGGTTTTCTGGGCTTTTTTTGTTTTTTGGTCCAGATATTGAAAATTATTATTAGTCATTATTAGCTTTTTCACTTATGGCATCTGCGTTTTGTGTCATGCTCAGGAATATCTTCTCCACTCTAAGATTATAAAACGTTTGATATTTTTTTCCAGAAATGTAATGGTTTCTTTCTTTTATATACACTGTATTTACATTTTTTTTTTTTGTCCTTTTTGAGCCAGTGAGCGCTGAGAGCGCACCGGTCATCCCTATATAGGATCTGAACCCGCACGGGAGCACCGCTGCGCTTCCCAGCTCCGCACTCTCCCGAGTGCTCCACGGGCTCGGCCCTGTATTTACATTTTTTTTGTCTAACTCTAGAAAGTACTTCTGGTAAGGAGTGAGGTAGGAAGCAATACTTCTTTTCCCCAAGATTATTTGCCCCAACTTCATTTCCCAAAAAAACACATTTTTTCCCCCACTATAGTGCTGTCTTTATGGCTTGCCAGATCTGGGTCTATTTCTAGACTCTGTTATCCCACTTTGCCATTGTCTTAATTACTCAATGTCTGGAGATCCCATTTCCCCTCATTTTTTTTGGCAGCTTCCAGTACAGGGATCCGAACCCTTGACCTTGGTGTTATAATACCACACTCTAACCAACTGAGCTAACCAGCCAGGCTTGTTTCTTTTTTCTCAGGATCAGGGGAGTTTATCTAGTTCAACGCCCCCATCTTTTTTGAAAAAGTTGGGATTGCTTAGGTTGATAAATTAAGTTGAAATAAAATTGTCATCTTAAAATAAACAGTCAGGGATCCGAACCCTTGACCTTGGTGTTATAATACCACACTCTAACCAACTGAGCTAACCAGCCAGGCTTGTTTCTTTTTTCTCAGGATCAGGGGAGTTTATCTAGTTCAACGCCCCCATCTTTTTTGAAAAAGTTGGGATTGCTTAGGTTGATAAATTAAGTTGAAATAAAATTGTCATCTTAAAATAAACAGTTGATGAATGTATTCCATGTAATAGTAGTTGCAGAAGACACTCTGTGAGAAAAAAAAAAGATTCTGAAAATCTGGTATTCAGGACCTGACCTCCCTCCCCGTGGGCTGTGGGTACTGTCAGTGCAAGGTGCTGACCTTGGTTTGAGGCAGTGGCGTTTCTCCCGCTGGTAGGAACTCAAGACTGTTTATTTAGTCGTGCTCACAGACACCTGCAGCACACCTGTCAGTCATGTAACTGCATGACCTTGTTTTCTCCCTGTGCCAGCCCATTTCACATAAGGGATAAACTAAGGCAGGGCCCTGTGGACTGCAGGTTTCTTGGGCCCTGCCTGTCTGCAGGAACTCACCTCTTTCCATCCAGGGTGCCCCAGCCTCTTCTGCCACCCACTGCTATGGGGACCGGGAGAACCACAAAGTGGCAGTGATGGGGGGAGCCGGTGGTCTGTTCCAGGACACTCCCCACTTCCACGTGGTATGGCCTGTGGCCAGGCAGTCCATTCCATGGCCGAATCTCCAGCTGTTCCCATGTCACCTGCACCTGGTACACCTCGGACACGAGGTCCTTGGGTCACAGAAGCAGATACAAGGAGTTCTATATTCTGTGTCCCACCAGCCAGGTGACCCTGTGGCTTAGGCACACTCTAGTAACTAGAGATTCAAGGGGACAAGGCCTGCCTGACACCTGCCTGCCTCAGTCTGAGGCACGTTCTCCCAGTGGGGTAGGTCGGGCTGAGCCCAGTTCTCACCTGGGGACCAGATTGCCTGGTGGCCCAGGTTCATTGCCTCCTCCTGTTGGCCTCTGTCCTCCACCCAGCCACCTCTGTCCATCTCTGTGGAACCGCAGGGCTCTCCCGAGGTTCCAGAAGAGAATAGGAAGGATGGCCATTCTGTGGTGATTTTGTCTCCTCCTTGCCCGTGGTAGCTGTCGCTGTGATCTGGGAAGGGGCCTCTGGGGGCAGGTGCCACCTCTTTCCCTGCCCAGGCTACCCCTCAGAGCACGACACACCCCAATTTAAGGTGCGTATGCTTCCTTCTGTTCACTTCTGAGTCCCAATGCCAGGGTTGCGGCCAGGGTGCAGGACCAACTTTTTAACTGTGCAACTCAATCAAACGGGTGCCCGCCCAGCAGCGGAGCTACCTGAGCACCTCACGAGTCTCTAGTCCCACGTCCTTTCCTTTTCGGAGCTCCCCCCACATGCCACATAGACCTTCACAATGTCGTTGGGCTGCTGGGGCCATCGTCCCCACTGCCTCCAAGAGAAGAAGCTCCTGAGACTCCAGTGGGCTCATTCCTGGGCTTTGGCAGTGCTCAGCATCTCTCTGCCGTGGCAGCTCAGGTGGCTCAGAAGTAAAAGTCTCGGGACACAGGTCTGCTAGCTGGCATGCTCTGTACCGCTGGATCCAGGGTCCGTTCTCTCCCCAGAACCCAGCTCAGCATGGCGCAAGCTGGGAGCTATGTGCAACCAGGGAAAGTGCAAAATGAGATTCAGAGGCGGATGGCCCTGCCCAGGGTCAGTGGGCGGGGCGGGGGGGGTGAAGCCCACTGCTCTTAGCGGAGCGTCCTTAAGAACCTCACCACCCACCCCGTTAGAGGAGGAGAGGTCCTGAAAAGGGTATTTCATTTCCTTCAAGAGACCAGGGGAAGGGGCCAGCCTGTGGCTCACTTGGGAGTGTGGTGCTGATAACACCAAGGCCATGGTCCTGGATCCCTCTATTGGGATGGCCGGTTAGCTCACTTGGGAGGGCATGGTGCTGACAACACCAAGTCAAGAGTTAAGATCCCCTTACTGGTCATCTTTTTTTTTTTTAAAAAAAAAAAGAGAGATCAGGGGAAGATCCGAGAAACCAGGGGCCTGCAGGAGGTGGTCCAGGGGGCAGGCCCTCAG